TAGCTGAGAGTGTCAAGCTATAACTCCTTTCAGTGGAGCCTGAACAGATAACGTCACATCTGTAGTCATAATAATAATTCGTTGAATGTTCTATGGCAGAACTGTCCAACCGTTAGCCCACAGGCGTAGTGTGGCTAGCGAATCATTGCCAATTGTATTGTTGTTGCTGCTGCTGCTAACTTAACAGCATTATAATCCCCCAGGCAAAGCCATGCACTATATTATATCTCAACAATTGCTCACATGAATAAGTATTACATTATATGTAACATTAACTGAAACTACTGTTTGAGCATCGTCATGCAGTAAATTCATTGAGAAACAGAAATTCAAATGGTTTGGTCATCTAGTAGGAATGCAGCCAGAACAACTACCAGCATAGATGCTACACATGGAAAGGTGTGATGTGAAAGCAAGAGGTCGCCCAGGAGAATGTGGATTTTATTTTGGACATTAAAAAGAGCTTTTACATCGACGCGGAATGACAACAGCCAATGCTGCCTGTCAAGCAATGGCACACATACTGCTCCTCCCCACTTCGCTTAACGACAGAAATGAAAATTTATAGTGATGATGGTCATTAACTTATATGCTTTTAAAAACGTACATGAATTGGTGGACCGTGGACCAAGCAGGATAGATATACTGACATGATACTGACATCTTTAAGGATCTGAACAGCACGGAAGATTGGCTAGTAAATAGCATCTTGTCTCGGAAACTGAAATATTGTGGTTTTATCCAGCTCAACGGCAGATTGTGATGAATAATAGCAGTTCTGCACAATGCCTGCTTCACGACTTTCATTATTGGTAACTTCAGTAATGTTTTTCATCATGGCGTGTCATTTCCTCATTCAAAGAATTGTACCAGTCATGTATGTGGCTTTGGTGTCGTGAAGCTTCTTTATCGACACGGTGTTCTAATAATAGCCATTGTCACCCATGAAGCAATTGATTGGAAAATGTTCCTTCCCACTGCGCTTAACGGCAGAAGTAGAAACTAATGATGATAAATGAAGAAACTAACATCACTGCACTCGCAATATTCTCACCAGTGCCCCGTCTCCTTCCTCAGTAGCTAACGTAGCTTTTTTCCCTACACCTCGCTGTGACTGTGTACATAGTGCCAGCTACTTGATATATGGGAACTCTGTGAGTGTTGTGGTCAGTAACACACTGGCTGTCTTTACTTCCCAAAACATTTTCTTCTACGAAATATTAAGCTGGGGACTGCCAAATACTGCCTATACACTTTTGTAGTGTAGGCTGGAGGCTAAGTCATTAAAAAAAAATCTTCCTTCATCTCTCTCTCTCTCTCTCTCTCTCTCTCTCTCTCTCTCTCTCTCTCTTTCTCTCTCAGAGGAGGGGGAGAAAGAGGGGGAAGAGGATGAAGAGCAGAAGGAGCTTTGAATATACAAGACAGTCCGCCCAATAAACAAACGTGCTAGACAGTTATCATCATCATCATGTAGCAGGTCGTTTGCAGAACGACGCTATCATCACAGTCTGCATGAAAGAAACTCGGTCTCTCGCCAGTTCTCCCGCCTCATTTACTTTCATACTCAAGGAGTCACTTATATCCTGTGCCCATCTTCATGTCGGTCGGCCCTTGCCCCTCCTTCCCAGTACCATGCCTTCTGCTATAATTTTTTCCAATCCGTCGTGGCGCTTGATATGACCAAAATATTTCAGCTTCCGAGAAAGGATACTGTTTTTTAGTCAATCTTCCTTGATGTTCAGATCTTTTAAGATGTCAGCATTTCTCCTTTTCTTTATCCGGGATAATCTGAGAATCTTTCTATAGCAGTGCTAGACAGTATTACGGTGACTAAAGAAGCCATAGGAGAAAACTGTCGACAAGGCACGTAATGATGAAAATGTATATCACAGCTGTGAATCTCAGGGATCTATAAGAGATACCCATGTAGTAAATATGCGATTGCCGACTATCGACTATTACAGATAGGCTCAAAGTGCTGCTAGCGAAGTCATATCTCAGAATAGCTACATCTTCTGCACGAAGCCCTGGACAGAACTGAGGGTCACAGAATGAAAAGAGGAAGGTCTTGGATGGTGCAAGCTGAAGACACAAATGGACATGTGTGCAGGCTTGATAACATCCAGCGAGGAGAGGAGTAAGTCAGTGTCCCAGCTAAAGTCAGACTTGTGTAGGGTTCTGATCCAGTTGGGTCGTGAGTGCAGGGGGACTGCGGGCGCTGCAGAATCAGTTCCACAAATGATTCATGATAAATCTCGTCCAGGTGATGTGATTATGTATAAAAATGTCTCTGTGTTGAGAGGCAGGCGAAGTTTATTAGGGTTCTTAGCAAAAGCGAATGTAGCAAAGCCTGGCATATGACACTACATCTAGTTTAAGAATGGAGGTGGGGGAGTAACCGCAGCCTTCCGCTGGCTTGAGAATCGTTTGCACATATAAACAGAGTATGTTGAGAAAAGTACAGACCGGTATGCTACGTGAAGAGTGGCAAGCTTCGTTTCATAATCGACGTCACTGCACATTGGGCATTCCCATGCGTGCCCAGTCCTCCGAAGCAATCCTTTACATATTTTTCTCCATGTCAGGCCAGTATATTAAGAAATAAACAGACAGAAAGACTTGCTGATCTGTACAATGGTGCTAAATCGATATATGACAAGCTAAATGTTGTAAGGGCTCTTTGCGGGTGAGTAACCAGTGCGAAGGCACAGATTGAAATAAACACGGGCTGAGGAGAATGGTGGTGCGGGGAGTGACTAGGGGGTCTAGCTGCCGCTCAACGCTAGAGGGGAAAGGCGGGATGAATATACAATCACACTGTTACTGTTACCATCGGAACAGAAACTCTGCACGTGCTGCTGAATATGGCGCGCTTATGGGAAAGTCCTGATTTCAGTGATGTCGATTCTCAATGAAACAGTTGTGTTTTGTCTTTCGTTATTTAGACTTAATATGGCGGAGACCTTGTGTGGATGTACAGCGGCTGGATTATTTTGATAACCCCCCATAAGACAGGCCAGGCGATTGAGCTTAATAAACTAATCAAGACAGACATCCGCAAATTATCGATTATTTGTGAGCAATGCTTCATGTTATCATAAAGTTGTAGTTCTATAGGCAGATTTGGTTTGTTTGATAAGACAGTGTCGCGTTAAACGAGTTTGATTATATGCATATCTTCATCTTCATCATAATGATAGATAATGACATAATCTTCTTCTTTTCCATCTTGTACCTCATCAAAGGATCGGGAGGAGATGTCACGTTCGTTGATGAGCTCTATCAAGAGCACTATTAAGACTGATGTTCATAGTGTAAGGCTGTTCTTTGCCATCACATTCAGTTCACTGCATATTTTCCGAGGCCTTCCACTTGCTCTATACGGTATAGAATAGACTATAGTAGTATACCTTTTGTAACGTTTTAGTTAGTGTGGTACCTGGTACCAGGGCATTCTTGTTAGGTGTTCAAACCACTTCATTTGTTGTTGTTTGATGAACTGTAAGACTGGCTTTATTCCTAGCATTCGTCTGATTTCGTATTCTGTCTTTCCCTGAAACTCCTGCAGCTCTTCTAAGGCATTTAATATCTGTTATCACAATTTTAGGCTGTCCTCCGAAAACGGCCACATATTATATGGCGGCCAGAAACACACCCTAACAGAGCCTCAGTCACATGTAAATTAAGAACTTCTGGAGACTACCGCCACCGCCGAAAGTATCACCCGCGCTAATACGCGCGGTACGGAGCAGGGCTAAACTAGATGACTGGGACTCACGAACAGCAGCTTCCCGGCCGCATCTCCTGCAGCTTTGCTCGTGAGTCCCAGGCATCTAGTTTAGCCCCGCTCCGCGCAGCACATAGTGGCGCAGGAGATACTTGCAGTGGTGGTAGTCGCCGGAAGTCCGCAATTTACATGTGACTGAAGCCCTGTCAGGATGTGTTTTGGGCCGCCATTATTCGGAGGATAGCCCAATTTTACGTTCATTGGAGGATGTAAGTGTCCACATTTGGCACTGATAGCATAGTGTTGGCCAAAAAATAGTTCTGATAAGATTCACTTCAGTACTCTGGGGTATCTGCTTGTGTGTCAACAGGGGAGATAGTTGCCCCATTACTTGATTAGCTTTTGCACATCTCGAGCTAATTTCTCTGTCCAGTTTTCCTTTGGATGTGAAAATTGTTCCCAAATACTTGAATTCCTCTGTTTGTCTTAAGGTGTTTTTTTATTTAATTTCTAAATTGTCTTTCTATCTTCCTATCACCATTGTCTCTGTCTTCGTAGTGTTTATTATCATATTATATTCATCCCCTTTGTTACTAATTTGATTTAGGTGGTTCTGTAGGCATTGCATACTTTTTGCTATGAGTACCTGGTCGTCAGCGAATAGTAATTCTGAAATATCTTCATGATTAAAGTTTGTTTCCTTACATATGGTATCCATGTATTTTAAAAAAAGAAGTGGAGATAGTACACAGCCCTGACGCACACTAGAGTTCACTATAAAAGTTCTTGACAATCCTGCCTTCCATCTTATGCAGCATTTACTACGTGTGTACAGGCTTTTGCAAATATTAATGAGATGACTGCTGATTCCCTTGTTTCATATACATTCCCACAACATATTCCTGTCGACTCTATCAAAGGCTTTTTCTTGGTCTATGAAGTCAACAAACATATCTTATCAGGTTCTATTGCTCTCTCTGATAGTTGTCTCAATATTAATGATTTTTAAGTAATATAATATATTGTTTTTCTCCTTTTTATCTAGTTTTTGACATTTTCAGAAGGCAGCAGATCAATTTCCAAGGGGGCTTTTACAATATAATAGCAGAAATACCAAAGATTGTACACCTTTTGACAGTACAGTTTAGTCATCGCTGATGAAACACTAAGGACGTGTAGTATAATTCTAGCTGAACAACTTATGAACTGTTAACAACAGTGTAACAGCTGAAGTGCAGGACCGAGTCAGCAAAGTGTTCGCAGATTACTCAAAATGGCTCGACAGTTGACAACATCAGTTTCCGATTTACTGCTTACCTGGTCGGTGCTGTATTTTATCTACAATGTGTTCTGGGAGAACGTCTTTGCCAGCCTGGGACTGGGCATCCAGGGCACTGCTGCCGCTCTGGGAGTGATCAGATTTGCCCAGGCACGACCGCAGGGACAGATTTATGAATACCATCAGATGACCTCCTGGCTGGCACAGGTGAGTTAGTATACCATAATCCTTCATTAATTATTATAATAGATTTATAGGCTATCCTCCGAATAACGGACACAAAAGATGGCGGCCACAAAATATCCTGACGAGCCAAAGTCACATGTCAATTGCACACTTGCGGTCACGAGCACATCATGGGAAAACAAGGATTAGTGTCTGTTGACAATTTCGAGAAACGGAACAAACCGCCGAGTTAAACTCGCCACGAGAGTCTCCCCTGCGCTGCTACGCGCGGCACGGATGGGGCTAAACTAGATGGCTGGGACCCACGAGCAGCAGCTTCCGCATCTCCTGCAGCTTTGCTCGTGAGTCCTAGCCATCTAGTTTAGCCCCAATCCACGTCGCATGAGCAGCGTGGGTGCTTCTCTCGGCGGTGCCGGTAGTCTCCGGGAAAAAAGCAAATTAAGTCGCCGGAAGTGCGCAATTGACACGTGACTGAGGCCCTGTTTTTGGCCGCCATCTTTTGTGCCCGTTATTCGGAGGATAGTCGGTCTGTGGATGCTACTAAAAAGAAAGCTGTGTTAACAATGCAGTACGAGCCGCGCCTTGTTACCATCGTACTTAGCCGAGTTTCAGTGTCGTAACAGCCACAAACAGCAGATTTCCGGTCACTATTTACAACTTCTGTGCCATAATTTCAAGATATAAAGGCATAAAATTATCAGTAAGTAGTTGATTTGATCTAACATTTTGTTCCGTTCCCTATTAGTTTTGACTTCAATTTTTGAATGTTTACAACACATGACTCGTGACTGAGGCTCGTCAGGATATTTTGCGGCCACCATTTTTCGTGCCCGTTATTCGGAGGATAGCCGATTTATATAATGTGCTGGAGGTCCCGGGTTCAAGCCCCGGGGAAGGCTGGGATTTTTTCACGTGTACTTCTAGTAATTTCCCTGGTCTCTGGGTAGTAAGATCAGGCACCCGTTTGTATTGTTGCGCACTTTAAAAAAATCTCTTGGCAGTCGGAAATCAAAAAGAGGAGCCTAACGGCACTGCCCGGGCAAAATTTAGAGTTAAAAATCTACCCAAATTATTTCAGGATCCTTGGACTCAAGCTTGGCCAGAAGTAGAAGGGAGAACTTATGGGTTACTATCCTTGTGCCATGATGTTGATCCGTTGTCTAAACCTAAACCTAAAAGGTCATTATGTGAAGGCGCTCCTAGGAGTTACCAGGGGATCTGGCCAACGCTCAACACTCACAGGAAAGCTAAGATGGATATACAGACAGTTGCTGGCACCATCATAATTGGAACTCTTTGATTGCTGTTGAAGATAGGGACAGAGCCCTTATGGGAGTGTCTCGAGTGCTATGATGTCAATTCCTAATTCAACATTCAACCATAATCATTCTTTACCCAGAAGTTTCAGAATCTGGGAACAGTGATTTGCAAAAAAATTTGTCCTATGTGGTTTGCTAACTGAAGGTTTGACCACACCTCTGTCACCCCTGAAAGTCACATCCTGAATGGTTGACTAACAACTGGACTAATCCTAAATGTCCCTTTTGACTTCCAGAGTCTGTAGATAGACCCACTACCCCCCAACAAGCATGTTGTGAAAGTAAACTAATTAGGGAAGTTTCCTTTGAAGTCAGAGTGCATTTGCCTGAGAGACGAGGAACCAGCAGCCTGCCTTTAAATAAGCCAGATCTGTAAAACTGATGGGCATCAGCGCCCGGCTCGCCCATTGGCTGGCCGGTAGACTTCATCTGGACTAGCTTGTCTATCTCCTTGGATTGCTTCAACACTGTAAGAGCCCTTTTCAGAGCTCTCGATGGCGGGCAGTGCTAAGCCATTTTATATGGGGCACAAAATCTAGTCACAGTTATAACCTAAAGCTCCCCCTTCAGGGATGCTGGTTAAACATGACGATTTGTTATAGGTTTTTGTTGTTGTTGAGCAAAGCCAACAACAAAACAAATGTGCATCTAAAACTTAAGTTCTGGGACAAGACCAAGGCCCAGAAGTGAATGAGCAACCAGAACTTGACACCAGAGTTCACAGCTGGTGAACTTGAAGAAAAAACCTTCAAATAAATTATAATTAGGGACCACAAAATGGCAGCACCAGGTACTGTCTTGATATCGCTGGCAGTCTTAGATTGGTAAGATGCATCTAGTATCATAGATAACATATACGCAAAATGTATCACAGTGATTTAAACAAAAATACCTGTCAAGTAAAAGCTGCATGTCTTAACGAACATAAACATTTGAAGGAGCCTCGTGTTTCAATACGAGATGCTCGCCTAAGGATCCAAAGTTCATGGGTTCAGGTCCTAGCATAGCCAGACTTTTTTCAAAAGAGACCTTGGCTGCCAGGTTGACTAAGCCTTAAAAGGGTACCAGGTAAAGGGAAATAAAGGTGGCTGGCATTTTTTTAACGTAAACTTTTTTTTTTTTTCAGTCCCTTGAAATTAGTGTTAACGAGCTCTTACTGCTTTATCATTATGTGCTTTTTTGTAAAACATAGGCGAACTTTAAATTAGATTGCAATTGGTACTGTTAGCATATTGACTCTTCGTTGACTACTTAGGAAGCAGACAGAGCCTGGGTGGAAATAGCCAGTGTGCAGGGATGTCAATTTATGATTCATTTGTTATAGGTCTCAAAGGGCTTGTGGACTATCAGTTCACTTTGTCATACCCTGCAATGATTTTAATAGCTCTGACCGCAGAGGTAAAGATGATATATCTGTCACAACATTAAAATCTTGCTCTGGCGATCATACTACGCGCCTCGCTTTGGAAAATCACCTCATCCACAGCTTAGGCGTTCTTAGTCCAGGTGGTATCAATATTCAACATACCTTCATCTAAATAGTTCTACTCTTATCACATTTTAAATGTTAATTATTTTATTTTATTTCATATTATTTCTTTATTCTATTTCTTATCAGTATCATTTATGTATCATTAACATTTGTATTTCTTTTATTCCAGTATTATATTATATATTAACAATACTACTGTTAATTATTATTATTTTTTTTTTTGTGTGACTATATTTTTTAGCCATCGTTTATTTTATTTTATTTTAATTATTCCACATCACATTTTTTTAAACGTTGCTCACGTCACCCCTTAGAGATCTACATACTCTCCTCTCCTCGTTGTTACGTTTGTGTAGTTCACTTATGTTTGAAAAAGGCTGCCGGGCTGAAATGTTACATTGTGTTGTTTTGTGCACGTTTTTCTGCTTCCCCATTTTGTTGAGCTTTTTAGTCAAAATTTTTCTGGAATTCCTGCAATGATTTGTTTCTGTATAGTGGATTTACAGATTTAGCTTGTTTGGCCTACCTCATTAGTTTTCATTTAAGGATTTCTCTTCGGCTTTGTTTTCTCAGTCTGTCTGTTTCCCATTTCCTTGCCTGATTGGTGATTCTCTGTCAACTACTCAGGATATACGCAGTATATAACCATCTTCTTTATCTTACAGCTGTTGATACCAGTTAGTTGCTGACCCCTGTGAGGATTCTGCTGCCCCATTGTGGGGAAAACAAGATTAGACGCGCGCCTGCCCAAAGGCATGTCGTAAGAGTCAGCTAATTGAGAGCTTCCTTCGAAGTCAGAATACACAAGGAACCACTAGTCTGCATGCAGATGAGTAGACATGTGAAATGGATGTGCACACAGCACTCAGTTTCTAGAACAGGACTAGAGTCCAGAAGTAGACAAACAACCATAATTTTCTACAGAAGTTTACAGCCGGTGAACGCTAAGAAGAAGAAGAAGTAGTTGCCCAGACATTTCTCTTGTTTCCTTCCCCTTTTATTGAATTCATCAGAAGCTATTATGTTGCTTTTCTTGAATTCATCAGGAGATATTATGTTGTTTTTCTTGAATTCATCAGGAGATATTATGTTGTTTTTCTTTAATTCATCAGAAGATATTAGGATATAGGTAAATTTGAATTATATTTTCTATTTCATTGTTTGCAACAGGTGGTTGGAATTCCCTTGCTGGCTGTCGGTTTTTGCCATAAAGACATGCCTATTTTGATGAACCTCAACCTAATGATCATGGTAGCCGTGCTGATTGGCGCCAATTTCCTAGCACCTGGCATGAAGCAGTTAGCCAATGAAAGCTGTGCTGGGTTCGGCTTTCTGACAATCATCATAGTTGCATTACGCTCTTGGAACGTTTATGCTCTGTTGGCCACTGCAGCTTATATTGCTTCCAGTAAGTTGATTGGATCCGAAGGAAAGATGGGCGTGGTTTACAGACTTGACCTGCTTCACGTGGGCCTTGCTGCTGGCAATGTTTTGTTTACCTGGGCCTTGAAGAGTCTCTGAGAAGTACAGGGATCTGGTTTGTAGGCCGCAAATGTATGTAATGTAACAGCATTCACAGGTCTTATAATTGCTTGTAGATTTGGTAGCTTGTACCACCAGATAAATTCAGTATGATAAACTTTCTGTTATCTGCAAGGTTTATTTATAAATGAAATCGCATACACTTCAGTTAAGCTGTACAAATAAAATAAAATCAACTTCTTTTTTTCCTCGTGTTCACTGGCTGTAAGAGGAAGAAGAAGACCCCCTGTAAACTCTGGTGAGAAGTTCCGTTTGCTCATCCACCTTTGGACTTTAGTCTCATTCCAGAGCCTGTATGTTGCGTGCATATCTATTTTACAGATCTAGCTAGTTTGTAAGCACAAGACCAGACAGTATGGTGAACTATCCAAAGTGGAGTGAGGACTTGCAGGGCACATATAAGAGGCCCTTTATCCACAGACCATGCCCTCATTGTTCTAGATCCTTCCAGGCCCATATTGGGCTTATAAGTCACTTCCGGACTGACAGACAATCAACCATAGTTCATAACGGATGGGAGAAATAGCGATCCGATGGATGGACGGAGAACAAGATTTGAAAGCCCCAGTTATTTGTCTCTCACCACGTGCTTGTTGGGGAGGCAGTGGGTCTGTTTTTGTTTTCTCCACAAAGAGACCCTGGAATCCACACATGGAATTAAATCGACAAAAGTAGAAACTGAATGAAGACTTTCTAGCCACATTATCCAATCTGTCACTTGCGACTATTTATTTGTATGTAAACCTGGCTCTATCAGCTATCTATTTTTATTGAATTATGCTGTTTTATGCTGAATGAATAAATCAAGAATTGACATCACTGCACTCAGGACATTCCCACAAGTGCTCCGTCCCCTTCTTCAGTAACCAATGAAGAGTTGGCATGCTAATAGTATCAGTTGCAACCTGGTTAAAATCCGCCTCTGTTTCCCTTTCAATGTTGAATATCTTTCAGAACCTCTATACACCCTACACTGAATAAGTCTTTCAGTATATGGATTACCTATCTGTTCTTTTGCACTGTCCATTTGATCCCTTGCAGCCTTCACCTCATTCGTTTTATTATATAGTAGCTCACCGTCTAGAGGAGCGGCAGCAGCAGAAACTGTTGTATGCTAAAACCCTGGCAGCACTGGTTTTCAACTGTGTTTGTCTCCTTTGCTTCCCTGACCAACTGTTTTATTTCAGTGGCTTTTCTAATTCCACTTTCTGGTGTCTTCCTTGTGGGATAATTGGTAAAAACTGCTTTAACATTTACGTACATTTCTTTAAAGTAGAGTCATGCAAAAAAAATTTTTTTTTAATGTAATAATCCAAGGAACAGAGAATATAACTGGGAGACTCAACAGTAGGACAGGTATACACATACAAGCACATTTTTCTACCAAAGTCTTTATCAGTGAGCAATGAAACAACACAAATGCTTAGCCAGGTATGAGTGTATCACTGTTTTCGTTTTTAAATTAAAGGCTTGATCTATGGAGACTGTGTTGCAGAGGTGTTCTCCTCTCCAGACTTAGAAACCAGCAAGACTAGACGTATTATTGGCTGTGGAAAGTGTGGTGAAACAATCGCTTAGTTTCAACGAATGCTGTATGTTCAGCCTACAGATGGTAGCAAAGTGATGCTAAAAATAGGTGCCAGTACTGTCTTAGCTTTGCGAATCATCAGAAAAATAAAGCCCTGCTTCCTCCAGAAATTTTAGATATTTAATTGTCAACCTCAACCTAATGCCCAGAGGAAAGGCGTCCTTTCCGTAAGCTGCAGACACATGACAGTGTCGATAATTGTTAGTCGAGGTTCCAGCATCATGGGGGAAGGTAGTCGCCCCGTAACTGCTTTGTTCCTGTTCCAATAGAAATCACCCAAAATGTTCTTCGCGGACCCATTTCAGGACCTATCAGTCCCAGCAAAATCTTAAAACTTGCACATGCAAAGTGAAAATGCATAAGGCAGCTGTCAGATGTGCTGACACAAATAATCCCTCGCCAGAACTGCAGCTCACTGTTAGCACAGATGGTCAGTTCCAAAAGCTGGCTTTGCACCCTCAAAAGTACACCGCATTCTAGATGTAATAGCCCATCCACCATTCAACAACATGACGCAGCCACAACAGAAGAAGAAAACCATTGCATATGAAATCCACTACTCACAGTGTCATACCAAGCACTCAACTCAGTAGCTAGGCAACAAAACCTTTGGACTGCCAGTCCAGAGATAGGGAAACAGTCAGTATGTACAACATTGAGAGTTCTTTTTATTATGTATATATCCTCCTTATTCTTGGATGCCTTATTGTTACTGCATTGAACATTTTAATTTTACGTGATTCTGTGTTATTGATTCTATGCCAGTTTGCTTTCTTCACCTGCATGCTACTCTTCCTCTTTTTCCATTACATTTGCCAGATTTTAAAAAATAACCCTGTCACCCTGAGAAGCTGCAAAACTGACCCTTCCAGTTGAGGCCTATTTCTCCACAAATGTCTCTTTTCTGACTTGTCTATAGTGGCCTGTGCACGGGACGTACATTAAATGCTATATGTTGTGTTCATGCCTGCGCACATATTTATAAGTTCAGGATGTGAATATATGAACCAGAAATAGCAATAAGTTGGTTTTCCTTCAAACCAAATGTTTTTTTAAAGTTTTTTTTTTTACCAAGGTTATATCAAATTTCCTGTAAGCCTCAGTAGTAGAGGTCATATGGTCAGGACATGCATCAACCGATACACCTACTGTTTTAAGGCTGAGGGGGGGGGGATGTACTCCATGGACACAAGGATATCCACCACTACATCTTCAATCTTCCATAAAGACAGGGATATAAACCTTTATATAACCATATTTCAGTGTATGTTTCTATAATGCTTGCTTCACTGATGTTTGTGTAAATATGTTGGTAGCCATGTTTGTAACTTTCATATTTTTGCATGAATTGTAATTTTATTCAGCAGTATCTTTTTTAGTCTATTATTATTATTATTATGCCTTGCATAATCATTTGCAAATAAACTGCTCTAGTCGTTAATAAAGCATTTTATTATTTGTTATGTCGGCTCTGTGGCTAAGTCGATGCAAACGTTTCGTAATGCCGGGGTACCGGGTTCGATCCCTGCTGCGGGCTATACGCCTTGTATTGGTTTCGACAGTGGTATCAGGGAGCCGACCGTCCAGAAGCAATGGCAAACTACTGGACGTAAATTTGTGAAACCACACAACAGCCAGGGGCTGATGGGGTTGGTTCTGCAATGTCTTGTAAAGGATACGCAACTAACCTTTATTTGTTATGATGAAATACTACTAAAAAAATTCTTAGAATATTGCAGACCAAGAAGAAGAAAAACACCAACATTCTACATGATCTCATCATAGAGGAGAATTGGCTCATAAACAGCATCCTGCTCCCGAAAGCTGAAGTATTTTAGCCATGTTGAACATCATGGTGGCCTAGCGAGAACAGTGACGGGGGGTGCAGTTTCTGGAAAACAAGGCAGCGGCTGACCTCAGCAAAGGTTGATACAAGACAGTGCAGATGCATTGGCTGGGAAAGCACATAGGGCTGGAGAACAGGCTAGAGAAAGAGACTTTCAGGCGTGTCGTGACAAGAGCGACTTTTTGTGAAGAACATGCTGATTGATGATGATAATCATCCTTATTTTTGCAATCACATATCCAACGCATCTCCATCTAGAACTGCTACAGTGGCTTGTGTGTTTCAAGCACCCCAATCTGGGGCCCTATTGTGGGAAAAACAAGAATAGACCAAGTGCCTACCCAAAAGCATGTCAGAAGAGTCGACTAACTTGGAACTTCCTTCAAAATCGGATTGCATCTGCATGAGAGGCAAGAAACCAGCAGTCTGCATACAAATGAGTCAGATATGTAAAATGAATGCATACGCAACACTCGGGTTCTGGAACAGGACTGCAGTCTAGAAGTGGATGAACAACGAGAACTTCCTGCCAGAGTTTACAGCTGGTGAACGCGAAGAAGAAGAAGAAGAAACGCCCCAAGAGCTATATCAACAGCCACATAGCTATTTCCTCAAATGAACTGAGGAAGTGAGAATGTCCAAAAGAAACCCAAAGACGAATGTTGATAACAGAGGCCAAAGGTGCTGGGTTGAGTTCTGTCCATGAAACAATTGCATAGGATAGATCAAAATGGAAAAATAAACTAAGAGGCCTATGTGGCACAACAGTATGGTGACAGTTACTACTAGGGTCACTCATAATGGGAAGGTCAAGGGGTAAAGACCAGATGAAGACTCAGCCCTGATGCCTTGTAAGTAGACTGAAGATAAAAGCTAGGGAAAGCGAAATAAACCCCCCGAAATGTGTGCCGAAAGGACTGAGTCAGCGGCTTTGAAAAACTCGCTCACTCCAAGATGATAGAACTCTTGATGACAGAACTCCATGACAATAGAAATCTTGATGACAGAACTCCGTGACAATAGAACTCCATGACAATAGAACTCTTGATGGCAGAACTCCATGACGACAGATATCTTGATGATAGAACTCTTGATGACAGAACTCCATGACGATGGAACTCTTGATGACAGAACTCCATGACGAAAGAACTCTTGATGACAGAACTCTCGATGACAGAACTCCATGACGATAGAACTCTTGATGACAGAACTCCATGACGATGCAACTCTTGATGACAGAACTCCATGACGATGGAACTCTTGATGACAGAACTCCATGACGAAAGAACTCTTGATGACAGAACTCCATGATGATAGAACTCTCGATGACAGAACTCCATCATGATAGAACTCTCGATGACAAAACTCCAAGATGATACAACTCTTGATGGCAGAACTCCATGATGATAGAACTTACTTTGTCATGACAGAACTCACTCCATGATGATAAAACACACTCCATGATGACAGAACTCACTTTGTGATGATAGGTGGCCTACGTCTATAGGTCAGGCATGACATAGATGATGGTTTGCCTTCTCATTTTATTGTAGCCTCAGTTCAGATTTGTGTTCTTGTCCCGACTGTACCACCTGCCCGGCGATTGAAGTATTTATCTCACTGTATTGTCTTTTAAAAATAATGTGCACAGACAAAACTGCCTGTCACCCAAACATAACAATAAATGATGAAGAAATGAAAATGTCGGCTATCCTCCGAATATCGGTCGGTAAAGATGGCGGCTGCAAAATATCCTTTCGAGCCACAGTCAAGTGTCAATTGCGCACTTCCGGCGACTACCGCCACGAGTCCCCCGGCAATCATATTGAGATATGGGGGGGGGGGGCGCCGCCAATTATCTCTAGAAACATGTGACCCCTTCGCGCTTGTCTCACGTCAACTAGGCTATATTAAGTTCTCTTTCAAGTATCTGTCCATACACTTCATATTGTTTCAAACACATTATATTTTGTTATTTAGCACAATATTATATGCTTTCCCAATATCTCCCCCAAGGATGACGTCACAGGACAGTTCAGTAATTTTTAAGGGTGGTAAGAGCGGGTTTCCCCGGTAACCAGCTAGCCTATGGCAATAGATGTTTCGTCCTTTTTAGGACGACATTTTTTGTTATTTGAAGCTCCACTCTGGCTTTTGCCAGGGGCCGCAATATAGGCAGGCCATAAATATGGCCAATTGTCTGAACGCGCTTTCTGGGACCTCTCCACGGCGATCCTCATCCACATGGTGGCACTTTGTGTCATCGGGTGTTTATCGCTTGTGTGATGTCCTAGTGGGGTAGAAAGTCAGTCCGTCAGTCGGTTTCCCGGCTTTCTCATGCTTATAAATATCCCAAAACACCTGGAACTGGGCCAATCCCCAACCAACCTACGTCCCACGAGAGAATGCAGCCTAGGTCCCACGACTGCATGCAGCCTATCTACCACCCCTAAAATATTCGACTGTCTGGGGAAGGGGGGGGGGGGGAGACACTGAGATAGAATCCATTATTATTATTATTATTACTACGCAGTTCTCTGCGCGTCTTTTTGGACTGAGATAGCTAAACAATGTGTTTGGCTGAGGAGTTGAGTCAAGAATTGACATCACAGCACTCGGGGCATTCCCATGCATGTTCCGTCCTCATCTTCAGCAGCCAGCGAAGAGTTCCAATACTGATGGTACCGTTCACAATCTGGTTACAAGTCCGTTTTGCTTTTCCTCTGAGTGTAATGAGCCGGCCAGACCCTCTGGTTACACCCAGGTGCCTCATTCTTTCCAGGCCATAATAATCTTCGTTCTCTACTTATTCCGTTGCTTGTTTCCAAAGGGTCTTGACCACATCTGTCTTGTCATGTATTAACTCACCACCCAGTGGTGCGGATCCAGCCAATCTATCTGCCTGTTCATTGCCCACAAAGCCTGGAGAAAAGATGCAAAGTATGCTCACCACCCGTGACCTTTCCAGTGAAGCTAGCCACTCTGCTCGAAGCATACCTGTCCTCACCCTTTTCAGCATGCTTTAAGATATGTGTATGCATCTTGTTCTCTAGCCACCGGAGAGCTGCAATTACTGCCTCCACCTCATTCTCTAGATGTTGTGGTGTCATACGCTAGGCTGTCTTGCACTGAAGATTTTCCATTGGCTTTCGTTACGATCCCTCAGACACTTATCTTTCCTCTCAACACTGAACCATCTATATAGATAATCAGATCACCCGAGCGTGAATTGTCGTGAATCAACTGTTGCACTTCAACCTCCGTAACACCCGCTGGCCACTCTCTGTATACCCGGCCCAATGTTATCATAACCCTACGCAGGTCAGACTTTCCCGCTGGTACTCTGACCCACGTCGGCTCTGTGGCTAAGTCGATGCGAACACTTCGCTTCGTAATGCCGGGATGCCCGGTTCGATTCCAGCTGCGGGCAATGCGCCTTGCGTTGGTTTCGACAGTGGTATCAAGAAAGCCGACCGTCCAGAGGCAATGGCAAACTACTGGACGTAAATTTGCCTAGAGAAACCACACAATAGCCAGGGGCTGTTAGGGTTGGTTCTGCAACGTCCTGTAAAGGATACGCAACAACCTACTCTGACCCACAACTCTTCTCGCCCAATGTTCTCCAGCATGCATACTTGTCTTATTGTGTCTTCTGTTTGAGCCATCCACGATTCTCCACATGTCAGCCTCTGACCCTTGCCTGCAGCCTGAGGATCCACCCACCCCTTTCCCCAATGTTTGCTCTGTGTCGTCGCCCCACCAGCTACCCTTTTAATTCTCTAAAGAAGTTATAATTTGGGAGCCCGTAAAGTGTATACAGAAGAAGTGAATGAGGACAGCCCCAAAAGACGACAGGGAGATAATATAGGCCTACAGACCTACCGCAACCTGGAGTAACAATCTTAAAAAGCGAAGGCCAATCACATATGAATTTGACGGTAAGGGGAGTTATCCGCAGCAATGAATCTCGGTGGTTCGGAGTGCTGAATAAGATGAAAATGAAGAGGGTAAGAAGAAGGAGAAACAGTCAAACACAAGGCTTACCTGAGTTGAGTTGAGGGATCCTCTTTTCAAAGGCGCTCAGATATCCCTCTCAAATACATCTGCGTCCAGCGGCTAATTGTGCTGACTGACAAGACCTCTCGTACGCCCATTGTGCCTTTCATACATAGCTGTGCCGATCTTTCTTGCATTCTTAGCAGCGATGTGACCTCACTGTCCACAAAACAAACAGCATTATGGTCCATTGGACACTCTAGTGTGCTAAACCCTTAAGACAACCGCTCACTTGACATACATACATTTTCATGGGCCCCCTGTTCTCGTGGTGTCCATGGACCCTTGTGGGCTCTTTTATTAAATCGAATAAAGCGGTGTTTTTCCCCCGAAATCCGATTTACCTGCAGTCCATGTTAGGCGAGGTACTGGATATGTTAGTTTATCGAAAGCATTGAAGAGCTCTAACAAAGAAGTTTAAAAAACTGGCACTAGTCGTCTGGCAGCGTCAACAGAAACGATGTGGCACTTACTGTTGTTGTTTACCTTTGTGGCTTAGCCGTAAGAACACCGTGCCAGATTCGGAATAAAAAATAATTCGGTAATGATTGCGCTCTTATTATAAACATTATCACCCTGTTGTGTCTTTTTTATCTGCCACATATGGCTCGCAGATTATCCCCCCCCCCCACCTTCCGTCGTTCTAAACAAATGTTAGTTCAAAATTTATCTTGTGCAGTTATTATTATTACAATTACTGCCTTCTCTAATATAAAAATAAATAAATAGAGAAGGCCGTGACCTAACTAACTCCTTCCTGTCGATACCATTTCCAATCCAGCACCTCTGCCCTCTCTCAATAGTGTTAGTCTTAGGCTTGTGGTTTCTAATTCTCTTAGGCATGCATTTTAATTTCCCTTTTATTTAGTAAAAACAGTTAAATGTGAAATTCTTCAAACAAACAACTCAAGTCAGCCAGTTGTTTGTTTTAGTATCCAGAAGCCATGAGTTGTTAACCCTTAGGCTCGGTATTATGGATATCGCAACCTTTCGGTCTTGATTCCATTGTAAATATCGTAAATCTGGGAGAAAATGTGGCTTTCCTGCCTACCCCCCGGGATTGAACCCGGACCACAAGGAGTTCGTCACCTGGTCTCCGCGAAATCCGGTTTAGCCAATTACCGACGCTAGAGATCCGGGCTGATATGACAGTTAAAGATTGACAGTAACTCATTATTTGATTATTGTTATTCTCTCGCCTAGATCGATCATCATGTTGTGCAATTGTACAATATTGGGGACTCCTATCGATCATGCATTTTTAATCCCTCAGTGGGGGGGGGGGGGGGGGGGGAGACTCTCACCCCTGAGAAAATTTGCAAGGAAGATTAAGTTATGCCTAAACAAGTATAGACGGTCTCTTTTCAAGTATTTTTTTGGTACATTTAGTATTATTTCATAAATATTTAGTCCTACATTAATTTACCACCCAGCACACAGTCATGATAATGATTTTTATTGTGCATGTAAACAAGGCTTAAGCCCTTTGAGGCCTCCCACTTCCTAAAAAAAAAAAAAAATTTAATGGGTGTAATCCTCTCCCTTACCAATGATTTCTTTAGGACAGTGCCCCTGCTCTCGTCTCACCTGCCTTCATCAGATGTTGTTTTTTGTAAGAGTGTTTATTCTGTCTTGTAACTTTTAACATCTCTGAATATTACACTTGTCTTTTTATTTCATTTTTTTATTTTGAGAAAACAGTGTATTCTGCATCTTCTTCAGGTTCACCAGCTGTAAACTCTGTCGGAAAGTTCTGATTGTTAATCCACCTCTGGACTTCAAACTTGTTCCAGAACATGAGTGTTGTGTGCACAGCCATTTTACAGATCTGACTTATTTGTATGCAGACTGTTGGTCCCTTTCCTCTCAGGCAGATGCACTCCAACTTCAAAGGAAGTACCTAATTAAAATCAACTCTTACGACAGACTTGTTGGAGAGGTAGTGGGGTCCTGGAACCCACAAGGGAAAAACATAGAAAAGGGGGGGGGGGGGGAAGGGAACGTCTCAACTTTAACTCTTTGAGTCCCAGGGGGTTTAGCATCACAGGCCCAGGGGGTAGTAAAGAAAGTAATAAAATTGGCGCATCATGCGTTCATTGGGCTTCTAGGTAGGAACCTATGAACGTATGATGCGTTAAGGGGGAAAAACTGTTTTCTTCTTTTTTATTCTCCTTGCCAGTGGTTTTGCGAGGGCCACACAGGCCTCTATGAAATCTGTGATACAACTCATGTCTTCCACTGTTTCCATACAGCTTGGTTTTCAATGGGATGACAACCGGCCAAGCCTGAGCTCTCTCTACTGCATGTAGTCTGCAGTACAAGTTCAGTATTTTGTGGTGTCTTTCAACATAGGCACAATTTTGAGTTCTCAAATTTGAATTTATGAGCGATTAGTAAGGATTATCATCACAGCACTCCAGACAGATACATAAGTGCCTTGATCTCCTCCTCTAAAGCTCCATAAGTATAAAACCACTGATGATGCCAGCTTGTGTGTTGATTAACTCTTTGAGTCCTAGGGAACACATATCATACATTCAAAGGTTCCTACGTAGAAGCCCAATGAATGCAAGATGCGTCGATTTTAGTCTTTCTTTACTACCCACTGGGCCTGTGATGCTAAACCCCCTGGGACTCAAAGAGTTAATGATATAAGCACTTATCATAATTAAATGTGTTACCTTCTCCTAGGTGTGCAGAACGTGAAGCCACAAGGCCAGCTTTCTGTTTCAACCATGCAGTCAGTACAGCTGATCTGTTGGACTCTGAAGTCAAAAATTCAAAGACAGAAAAGACTAGTTCTGTCTGGCGTGCTAGTGTTTGGTGTAATATGGTTCATGTTGTCTCAAAAGACTGCCCATATTCGAAGAGAAGTCAACATACTTACAGCCCAGCCATGCTCGGATAGCGACTCACAAGAGGTTGTGGAGAAAATTGTGAGTATTTTGTGTGTCTCAAACTATGTTGCTTCTTACAATATCCACAGGACATTATTATCATTAGTATGTGCCTTAAACAAGGATGTCTAAGAGAAACACTAAGGTGAATGTTGATGAGAGAAGCCAAAGGTGCTGGGCTGATTTCGTCCATGATATCACAGTGATTGCACAGGACAGAACTTAATGGAGAAATAGACTGTGAGACCTGTGTTACATATAATGGCACAACAGGACAGTGAAATGAAAAAATGTAACAGTGCTTGAAAAGTGGCCTAGGCATTCATGTGTCTTCACAGATCTTGGCCCATTATGTTTATGACTTTCCTTCATGGAACAGAGTCCACCATGTGAAGGAGAGGTAGACTTGAGAAAGAGAGGCTAAAGAGTCTTGAATTGTGCATGAATTCTAGTGGTTACACCTACCTTCATTGCAGTTTTGTAAGAGAAGGTTCACTGTATGCTTGTAGTGGCTACACCTTATCTTCTGTATGTTTATAGTAGCTACACCTTACCTTCACTAGATATTAGTAGTGGCTACATCTTGCCTTTACTCTATGCTTGTAGTTGCTACACCTTGCCTTCACTCTATGCTTGTAGTGGCTACACCTTGCTTTCACTGTATGTTTGTAGTGTCTACACCTTACCTTCACTGGATGTTTGTAGTGGCTACACCTTGCCTTTACTCTATGCTTGTAGTTGCTACACCTTACCTTCACTGGATGTTTGTAGTGGCTACATCTTGCCTTCACTCTATGCTTGTAGTTACTACACCTTACCTTCACTGGATGTTTGTAGTGGCTACACCTTACCTTCACTGGATGTTTGTAGTGGCTACACCTTACCTTTACTGGATGTTAGTAGTGGCTACACCTTACCTTCACTGGATGTTTGTAGTGGGTACACCTTACTTCACTGGATGTTTGTAGTGGCTACACCTTGCCTTCACTCTATGCTTGTAGTTGCTACACCTTACCTTCATTGGATGTTTGTAGTGGCTACACCTTACCTTCACTGGATGTTTGTAGTGGCTACACCTTACCTTCACTGTATGTTTGTAGTGGCTACACCTCACCTTCACTGGATGTTTGTAGTGGCTACACCTTAACTTTACTGGATGTTTGTAGTGGTTACACCTTAATTTCACTGTATGTTTGTAGTGGTTACACTTTACTTTCACTGTATGTTTGTAGTGGCTACACCTTACCTTCACTGGATGTTTGTAGTGGCTACACCTTACCTTTACTGGATGTTTGTAGTGGTTACACCTTACTTTTACTGTATGTTTGTAGTGGCTTCACCTTGCTTTCACTACATTATATTTATCCGTCCACAGTGCTCGTTGTACAGAAACCAGGAAGTAACCGGGGACCTGTGCAGACCCTTGTGCGATGAGCAGCTGGTGAAGTTTGTCCGCTGCCTTAATTACAAACACGGCAAATATGTGATGCAGGTGAAGTGCGCAAACTTCTGCACACCTGGTGAATCCGTCTCGGCAGTTCTCAAAATGACCCATAAGAATGTTTCGGAGCTTCAGGAGCATCTGAAGCACATAGATAAGGAGTTGTTGGTGAAAATGCAGCTGCAAGAGCAGGTTGATAAAGTAAAGATTCAAGAATATGCTATAACTGCAAGGAGTTTGTCCATCCTACTTCAGGATCTGCTTCAGGCCGAGTATGGGTTTACCCCGAGAGATGGGCAGGATATGATCAGCCTTCTATGGAATAACAATTATGCAGACCACTTTCAAGGAGCTCATACCAATTTAGTGTTTGCCAGGTCATTTTGGTCTGTAGTTCTTCAGAATGAATACAGAATCTCAAAAGTGTTCAGTGACTGGGACGTTTTCCCACAGATATATGGGAGCTGCGGCCCTTTGTATATTGCGGAGAACGTTCCAGGCGTGACACCGTTTAATACAATTTTATCTTACTTTGTGCCTGGATACCAGTCGTGGAAAAACAGGGCACAGACAGCAATCGCAATTCTTCATCTGGTTCAGCACATGGAAATGATGGAGTATCCTCTGCATCTTTGCGATGTGAAATCGCCTCATTTTGGGGTCATGCCTGATAACAACAAGGTGAAGTTCATAGATGCCGACACCGTTTTTGCAGATGGTTCGTTGAGACGAGATTTGGGGATGCCTGCATGTTCTCAGCATGAAGACTGTGCTTTGTTTGACTGCGAGGGGTGGTGCCACAAGGAAACTGGCAAGTGTCGTCCAGTCAGAACAAATAATAATTTACAGGTATCATTTTTTTTTTCATTGCTTCTTTTGTCATCATCCTTATCAGTGTCGTCAGTATCCATCATTGTCGGTGTCATCATTGTCAGTGTCATCTTCATCTGTCATCATTATCTATCATCATCATTGCCAGTCATCATCATTGTCAGCGTCATCATCATCCATAATAATCCATCTTCATCATTGTCAGCTTCATCATCATCCATTATTATCCATCTTCATCATTGTCAGCTTCATCATCATCCATTATTATCCATCTTCATCATTGTCAGCGTCATCATCATCCATTATTATCCATCTTCATCATTGTCAGCGTCATCATCATCCATTATTATCCATCTTCATCATTGTCAGCGTCATCATCATCCATTATTATCCATCTTCATCATTGTCAGCGTCATCATCATCCATTATTATCCATCTTCATCATTGTCAGCGTCATCATCATCCATTATTATCCATCTTCATCATTGTCAGCGTCATCATCATCCATTATTATCTATCTTCATCATCGTTAGTGTCATAATTTCCAGTCTGGGATGCAAAAGTCTTCTTCTTTGTGTTCACAGGCTGTAAACTCCAGCAGAATGTTCTGATTGTTCAACCACTTCAGGACTTTAGACCTGTTCCAAAACCTGAGTGTTGCATGCACATCCATTTTACAGATCTGACTTATTTGTATGAGACTGTTGGTTCCTTGCTTCGCAGGCAGGTGTACTCCAACTTCAAAGGAAACCCTGAACTAGTCGACTCTTACGACATGCTTGTTGGGGAGGCAGTGGGTCTATTCTTGTTTCCCCCACTATGAGGCCCTGGAGCCTTGCAGATAGATGGGAGGCAGCCAGAGCCTAGGGAAAGCAAACATGAAATTTTTGATTGACACCCTGTTTCACAAACTTTAAGTTGTCCGAGTATTTAGGACTATCTTCTCTAAGTGTACTCGCAAAAATTTATTGGTGTGCACTTATGCTGCCTCAGATCGTCTGCATGCTTCATACTAACATGAGTATGATTGCCAAATAATGGACATACCACAGCAAGTCGTTATACTACGCCTTAGAACAGAACACAGTTGACTTCACATGTACACAAAATTTAAGATTGGTGAAACAGCCATGTGTACGTATGGATTAGTACCTGAGACAACAGATCACATCCTCCAAGACTGTCCAAAGAACAACATATAAAGGCATCACTTGTGGCCAAAAGAGACACCAGTGCAAGCCAAACTTTACAGGTCGTTGATTGAATTACAACAGACAGTGAAGTTCATACAAGAGAAATGAGTTAGCACACAACAGTTGTCCAAGTCTGAAGTTAGGTTATTACAGTCAGTATCACTGCACATGTCGGTTCTGTGGCTAAGTCGATGCGAATGCTTCGTAATGCCGGGTTCGATCCCAGCCGCGGGCCATGCGCCTTGCATTGATTTCGACAGTGGTATCAGGGGGGGCCGACCGTCCAAAAGCAGTGGCAAACTACTGGACGTAAATTTGCCTAGAGAAACCACACAACGGCCAGAGGCTGCTGGGGTTGGTTCTGCAACATCCTGTAAAGGATACGCAACTAACCTTTCACTGCACATTGGGCATTTCCATACATTTTCGGTCTTCCGATAGAGCTGGTTCTGCAACGTCCTGTAAAGGATACGCAACTATCCTTTCACTGCACATTGGGCATTTCCATATATTTTCAGTCTTCCGATAGAGCTGGTTCTGCAACGTCCTGTAAAGGATACGCAACTAACCTTTCACTGCACATTGGGCATTTTCATACATTTTCAGTCTTCCGATAGAGCTGGTTCTGCAACGTCCTGTAAAGGATACGCAACTATCCTTTCACTGCTCATTGGGCATTTCCATATATTTTCAGTCTTCCGATAGAGCTGGTTCTGCAACGTCCTGTAAAGGATACGCAACTAACCTTTCACTGCACATTGGGCATTTCCATACATTTTCAGTCTTCCGATAGAGCTGGTTCTGCAACGTCCTGTAAAGGATACGCAACTAACCTTTCACTGCACATTGGGCATTTCCATACATTTTCAGTCTTCCGATAGAGCTGGTTCTGCAACGTCCTGTAAAGGATACGCAACTAACCTTTCACTGCACATTAGGCATTTCCATATATTTTCAGTCTTCCGATAGAGCTGGTTCTGCAACGTCCTGTAAAGGATACGCAACTAACCTTTCACTGCATATTGGGCATTTCCATATATTTTCAGTCTTCCGATAGAGCTGGTTCTGCAACGTCCTGTAAAGGATACGCAACTAACCTCTCACTGCACATTGGGCATTTCCATATATTTTCAGTCTTCCGATAGAGCTGGTTCTGCAACGTCCTGTAAAGGATACGCAACTAACCTTTCACTGCACATTGGGCATTTCCATACATTTTCAGTCTTCCGATAGAGCTGGTTCTGCAACGTCCTGTAAAGGATACGCAACTAACCTTTCACTGCACATTGGGCATTTCCATACATTTTCAGTCTTCCGATAGAGCTGGTTCTGCAACGTCCTGTAAAGGATACGCAACTAACCTTTCACTGCACATTGGGCATTTCCATACATTTTCAGTCTTCCGATAGAGCTGGTTCTGCAACGTCCTGTAAAGGATACGCAACTATCCTTTCACTGCACATTGGGCATTTCCATACATTTTCAGTCTTCCGATAGAGCTGGTTCTGCAACGTCCTGTAAAGGATACACAACTAACCTTTCACTGCACATTGGGCATTTCCATATATTTTCAGTCTTCCGATAGAGCTGGTTCTGCAACGTCCTGTAAAGGATACGCAACTAACCTTTCACTGCACATTGGTGGCATTTCCATACATTTTCAGTCTTCCGATAGAGCTGGTTCTGCAACGTCCTGTAAAGGATACGCAACTAACCTTTCACTGCACATTGGGCATTTCCATACATTTTCAGTCTTCCGATAGAGCTGGTTCTGCAACGTCCTGTAAAGGATACGCAACTAACCTTTCACTGCACATTGGGCATTTCCATACATTTTCAGTCTTCCGATAGAGCTGGTTCTGCAACGTCCTGTAAAGGATACGCAACTAACCTTTCACTGCACATTGGGCATTTCCATACATTTTCAGTCTTCCGATAGAGCTGGTTCTGCAACGTCCTGTAAAGGATACGCAACTAACCTTTCACTGCACATTGGGCATTTCCATACATTTTCAGTCTTCCGATGGAGCAGCCACCTATATGTACCTCTGCTGATTATATCCATGAGTTGAATACAGTCTCCTATCTTGACCTTGAAGACGACACTGCCATGTTTCACCAGGTTGTTATGAATCACGAGCTCGACATAAAAGTGCAACATAATCCCCTTTATGATATTTAAGGCTGTCCAAATAGTTGGGATGTTAGGCTTGTAAGGTAAAAGGACCTTTGTCTATGCGTATTGGCATATAGGGCTAGACCTGTATTTTGTAGACCAGTTGGCACTTGGTGGGTGGTAGGGTCAACATCCTGTCTGCCACCTATACTTCCCAGGACCCGCTTGGACCCGCTTAAGGCTGGGAGTCAGGGTTATTTGGACTTGAACCTATGACATTCACATCCGCAAGCTAGCATCTAGCCGCTACACCATGGTAGCTCCCTCTTATGCTTGCCTGTCTCTTTTTCAGATGGTGTGTGCTAAGGTTTTTAGAGGGCCCTTACTCTCCAGAAACACCGGCCTTTTGTCATCGCCTCCATCACACGTGGCCACGCAGCTCACCAACTTAGTGAACAGCTGTGCAGATGATGTTACTGAGGTCACCCAGGAAGGTATCCAGATGAAAACACCTGATGACGGGCTTCTTCACGGCTTGGTCTCCTGTTTAACAGAGAGTATGTCTACATCTCGTTAACACACACTCACACATGCATGCTTAACATGCATGCACGTGGAATTCTAGCTGCATCTAATGAACTTGCACACACACATACCCATAGAAATTTAATGCTATTAGCTTAAAAAAGTATGAGTTTTTGCTCATACTGTCATTCTAACATAGCGGATCTCAACCTTCCTAATGCCACGACCCTTTATTACAGTTCCTCATGTTGTAATAACCCTTTAATACAGTTCCTCATGTTGTAGTGACCCTTTAATACAGTTCCTCATGTTGTAGTGACCCTTTAATACAGTTCCTCATGTTGTAGTGACCCTTTAATAAGTTCCTCATGTTGTAGTGACCCTTTAATAGTTTCTCATGTTGTGGTGACCCTTTAATACAGTTCCTCCTGTTGTAGTGACCCTTTAATACAGTTCCTCATGTTGTAGTGACCCTTTAATACAGTTCCTCCTGTTGTAGTGACCCTTTAATACAGTTCCTCCTGTTGTAGTGACCCTTTAATACAGTTCCTCATGTTGTGGTGACCCTTTAATACAGTTCCTCCTGTTGTAGTGACCCTTTAATACAGTTTCTCATGTTGTAGTGACCCTTTAATACAGTTCCTCCTGTTGTAGTGACCCTTTAATACAGTTCCTCTTGTTGTAGTGACCCTTTAATACAGTTCCTCATGTTGTAGTGACCCTTTAATACAGTTCCTCCTGTTGTAGTGACCCTTTAATACAGTTTCTCATGTTGTAGTGACCCTTTAATACAGTTCCTCCTGTTGTAGTGACCCTTTAATACAGTTCCTCATGTTGTAGTGACCCAAGCCATAAAAAAATGTTAATTGCTACTTAATAACTTCAGTGAATATATGTTTTCTGATGGTCTTAGGTGACCCCTGTGAAAAGGTTGTTCAACCCACAAAGGGGTCATAACACACTGGTTAAGAACCGCTGTTCTAAAAGCTCAGAAAGAATAATTATGGCTCAGTTCTGTAATTATAGTTGCTATAATTAACGGGATAGTTAAATCAAAAGTTGTTATTCCTCCTTGGGGAAAAAAAAAACAACTGTTATGCAATGTACATAATATATATTTATATGTGGGATGTTTACAATTATTTTGACTATACATATCACAATGCCACATGACAGCAATTTATATCCAATTTTTGGGGGTGTTTTTTTTTTCTCCAATTGTGTGCATATCAATATTTCAGGTGTTATTTATTATTCTATGTTGTTTTTCGTGTGTGCTATTTACAGTGAGATTATTTGCTTTGCTCAACCATGCAGGTGTTATTTTCACTCATTATATTGTAAGAAATCCATTATATTGTAAGAAATCACTAAAGAAGGAATAGGGGCAACAAAAAAAAAAACTTGAATGTTACTCATACAAAGGTTCTTAAAGTATCATGGAGACAGACAAGGAAAACATTACTGACAATCTGACTGACTTAGTCACTGCTCTTCCATCTGGGGATGTAGAGGTTTGCCAGACTTCTCTGTCTGCAGTTTTCCTTCTGGGTTTGTTCCTTCCCAGTCCTCTGTCAGATGTTGTCTTCCCAGCAGACCCTGGGTCTCCCTGGAGGTCTGGTTCCCTGGTTCTTAGCTTACCATGTGACATTCTTCATGTTCTGAATTTTAAGCAATAGGGTCCCCCCCCCCCCCCCACCCCTAAATGAGACCCCAGAACTTTCACTGCAAAATCTCTACCATAAGCGTAAAATGATAAAATGACTGACGACTGTTCTGTGAATTTCAAGTCTAAATTTCACTTTATCCTCCACTGAGATTTGTGTGTGTGTTTTTCTGGATTTTTTTGATTTCATGTGGTTTGCAGTTGTGATTATCCTTGTGGTTTTTGTAGATTTTAACTGTTATAATGTTATCTTCATGTCAGTTTTATGTGATTATCTGTGTGGGTCTGCATGATGCTGACCATACAACCCACCGAATGCCAATTGATCTATAAAAATACAGGTCTGGCCCTTTATGTCTAATACGCCTGAAGGTGTGGGAAAGGGTCCTCTACTTATCATAGTGGGTAAACTTACCTGTTGGTCCGGCACTTATAGGTTATACATAATCCTCAATAAGGTTATTTAAAAAATTTAAATTTGCATGGGCACCTGGATCCCAAGGCTTAGGTGTTGTGAACGTGCTTTGTAATGCCGGGTTTGATCCCAGCTGCGACCGTTCAGGAAGCAATGGCAAACTACTGAACATAAACTTTGTCCATAAAAACCACAACAGCCACAAAATGCTGGGGTTAGTTCTGCAACGTCGGGTAAAGAATACACAACTAACTCTGGATTGACGCAGCCTAAGATGGGTGCCAGCATATGTCCTGGGAAGTAAAGGCAGCCGGCGTGATACTAACCACATCACGTGTCGAGTGCCTAGATGCTTGCCTGCCAGCATGAAAGTCCTCCGTTCTAATCCGCACCAAAATGGATTTTTATAACTGTCCTTGGCTTCCAGGTCAGCTCCGTCTAAAATGGGTACCAGGAAATGTCATGGGATATAAAGGCGGACTGGTCAGGATGGTGACCACCTCACCCGTGGTCTATAAACATACGAGTCTAGCCTGACGCTCCTTTTTCGTTAAAAAAGGCCTACTTTTGTTTTTCTTTCTTTAAGTCAGGTGCTGATCGCTCTTTACAAATATGGAGCTCACACAGCGGGATCATTTTACGTTTTTTATTAAAGGTATTATTTAAAGATAGTTTCCTTTGTGCCGTTGGTCAATAAAATATAGGTCTAGCCCTATATACCCAAGGCGTGAAAAAGGCTCCTTTACCCTTAAGGGTCAGACGTTATTTGTATAAGGTTTTATGCATAGATGTAATTTTTATATGGTTTTATTCATGGATGTTATTTTTAAACATGATCTTTGTAGATTTGTATCTTTACATGGATAAATTGTATTTATTACTTATTAATGTTTGCTTTCACATTTGTAAGTGTTAAGGTTTTGCATACTGGTATTTCCGTATGTGTGGGTTTGAAGATGTTATTTTCCCATACGAAAATGTTAATGGATGGTAAGGCAAAGTTCAGCCTTCTGCTGCCACTAAGGGTCATAGGTCAGTTCTTGTTGAGCAGTTCTACCAGCTTTCGTGGCAGATCAGTGGAATGCCTGTTTATCATCATCATGTGGCCTGTCCACTGCAGAGTATTATCTTATCCGTCTAAATGATACCAGAACATCAGTTTCTCCAATGCCTTGCGCTCTCAGACATTCTGTACAACCCATGTCTTGTCTCCTAGAATCTTTGGCTTTCATTACAGTTCTTTCTATACCACTGATGCTCTTTATAAATCACGGTGGGGCTATCTCTCTAAACCATTGCGGTGCTCTCATTCTAAATCACTGTGGTGCTCTCTCTAAACCATTGCGGAGCTCTCATTCTAAATCACTGTGTTGCTATCTCTCTAAACCATTGCCGTGCTCTCATTCTAAACCACTGTTGTGCTCTCATTCTAAACCACTGTGATGCTCTCTCTAAACCACTGTGGTGCTCTTTCTAAATCACTGTGTTGCTATCTCTCTAAACCATTGCCATGCTCTCATTCTAAACCACTGTGGTGCTCTATTTCTGAATCACTGTGGTGCTGTCTCTCTAAACCACTGTGGTGCTGTCTCTCTAAACCAGTGTGGTGCTCTCATTCTAAACCACTGCAGCTCTCTTTCTAAATCACTGTGATGCTCTCTCTAAACCACTGGTGCTCTCTCTAAACCACTGTGGTGCTCTATTTCTAAATCACTGTGGTGCTCTCTCTAAACCACTGTGGTGCTGTTTCTAAATCACTGTGGTGCTCTCTTTCTAAACCACTGCGGCACTGTTTCTATATGACTGCTCTCTTTTTAAACTGGTCTAAAATTGGTTTCTCTTTAAATTAATTAAGTGCTCTTTCCAAACCCCTGGTGATCTCTCTAAATCAGTGTGTGTCACTTAGTGCATCAAAGCCTGGCCTATGATATCACAACATCTAGTTTGAGAATGGAGGTGGAGGCAGTCATTGCTGTCTTGAGAATCAACTGTTCACACATGGTAATTGATTCACAGAGCAATGTTTAAAAAAAAAGGTGGAGACTGGCATAAGCCACTCTGGTGCCGTTTTTTCTAAATCACTTTTGTTTGTAATATGGCTAAAGTACTTCACTTTTTGAGGCATGATTGTTTTAAAAAAAATATAAGTCAGTTCCTTTTCCGGTTAAATCTTTGTGCCTTGTCTGTATGCTCTCCTATCTGTACTTGTGGGTATTTAATCAATCTTCCCTTAGCCTGAATGGGGAAATAGTACGGTTTATATCCAGCATAGAATGTGCACAAAATGCTAACAGTATTGGCACAGCCTAGGGAAGAGAAGAAAATAAAGAAAACAACCCTTTGTAGGCTGGTTAGATTTTGCAGCTACGACTGTCTGTGGGAGAAAGAGGTGGCCAGTTGCACAAGACCCTCCCTAACTGTCTATAGTGATGGTAGGTTCCACTGCTAGCACTTTGCTTCTTTCAGCTCCATTATTACTGCTTCCCTGTGTTTGTTTCCCTGTGGTTTCTTCTTTCTCAAGTGTCAAGGGAAATGCATGGTTCAGATGCTCTCACTTGTATCTGCCTCCACCAGATACATGTTGCTGTTTGTTTCTCTAACCTTTTAACCCAGCCTATATCTCAGCATGGCTGTTTGGATCATCCACTGATTAGGTTTGAACAACGGATCAACATCATGGCACTAGGGTAGTAACTCATAAGTGCTCTGTTTTTCTTCTAACTCAAGTCTGAGTCAGAAGAAGCTCAGCACAGTGCACCGGTGAGGATCCTGAAATACTTGAGTAGATTTTTAACTCAAAATGTTGCCCGGGGAGCGCTGTTAGGCTACTCTTTTCAATTTTCAACTACCAAGGGATATTTTAGGTGCGCAACAATGCACATGGGTGTCCGATCTTACTACCCAGAGATCAGGAGGAATTACTAGAAGTCTTAAGTCCATGTGGAAAAAGTCCCAGCCCTTACCGAGGATT